TTTTTCCTCCTTTTTTAACTCATTTTGGCATCCCCAGATAGGATGGACAGCAATGGGAGCACGGGGGGCAAACAAAGATCCTTGATTTCATAAAACTCATCCAAATAAACATGAGCTCTGYAGTTTCTCCCTTCCCCCAGCCCTACAGTGCTGTTTTTTTCCCTCCTCCACAGCATCACCGTCCTGCAGAGCATGAAACTGGGCATCGACGTGAACCGGCACAAAGAAATCATCGTCAAGAGCATCTCAGCTCTGCTGCTGCTGCTCCTCAAACATTTCAAACTCAACCACATCTACCAGGTGGGSCTGGAGGAGGGCATGGACACTGAGAATTCTGAGAAATCTTTTCCTAAAAGCTTCCAGGAGGAGATTCCATGRGGAGGTTGTGTTTTTGTAGCTCCGGGATTTGTTCAGGGATAACCCAGCTTGGATAATGTAATTTCTGAGCACGTACAGGAGCTTTTTTTGTGGAAATATCCATCCAGGTTAAATTTAGGAGAGCCTCCCTGGTAGAAGGGGCAAGAAGACGAGGGTTAGGCAGGACAACAACCCAAAATARTGCCAGGAAGGAGCTCACGAGGTCACCTAATCTGGTTTTGGCAGGATCACGTTCTTGGGGCTCCAGTTTCAACTGGGTCATAGATGGAATCTGATTTTTGTTCCCAATGTGATTTTTTGTTCCTTCTGCACGGCACCAATCAAATTGTTCCCACTCCAGGGCTTTCCTTGCTTAATAAAAACAAGGACTAATATGAGCTGTGGCCCAGTTCTCTACCCACACTGCGASTCAAACAATTAACATTTTCTAATTTTTTCCTGTTCAAGCTCTCAGCAYGCCMCAAATCCCTCTGTGTTCCAAAATCCACTGATATTTAACTGAGGATAAATATAAATCCACGTATTGGATTGGATAAAATGAAACCAACTCCCACATTTTTACAATCCTACATTTGTTCTGGGTCTCTCCCGGCCACGTCCCTGGGCTCATTTTTCTCATTTCAAAGTGGTTTCTCTCCTTTATTCCCCCAATGCAGTGCAAAACTGTGAGGTTTCCTCCTCCTAATTGTGTTTCCTAATAGGAATTATTGTGTTTCCTAATAAGAATTTTGTATTTCCTAATAGGAATTATTGTATTTCCTAATAGGAATCATAGTATTTCCTAATAGGAATTATTATATTTCCTAATAGGAATTATTGCATTTCTTAATAGGAATTATTCTATTTCCTAATAGGAATTATTATATTTCGTAATAGGAATTATTGTATTTCCTAATAAGAATTATTGTGTTTCCTAATAGGAATTATTATTGTGTTTCCTAATAGGAATGATTGTATTTCTTAATAGGAATTACTGTATTTCCTAATAGGAATGATTGTATTTCCTAATAGGAATGATTGTGTTTCCTAATAGGAATGATTGTGTTTCCTAATAAGAATTATTGTATTTCCTAATAGGAATTATTGTGTTTCCTAATGGGAATTATTGTGTTTCCTAATAGGAATTATTGTGTTTCCTAATAGGAATTATTGTATTTCCTAATAGGAATTATTGTGTTTCCTAATAGGAATGATTGTATTTCCTAATAGGAATGATTGTATTTCCTAATGGGAATTATTGTGTTTCCTAATAGGAATTATTGTATTTCCTGATAGGAATTATTGTGTTTCCTAATAGGAATTATTGTATTTCCTAATAGGAATTATTGTATTTCCTAACAGGAATTATTGTGTTTCCTGATAGGAATTATTGTGTTTCCAGTGTCAGAAATCCCAGTTTTCCCAGTTAACCCTGCCCCATTTCCCTTCTCTCCCCCAGTTTGAATACGTGTCCCAGCATTTGGTGTTTGCCAACTGCATCCCGCTGATCCTCAAGTTTTTCAACCAGAACATCATGTCCTACATCACTGCCAAAAACAGGTATTTTGGGGGAAAACAGAGATTATGGGGCAGGGAGGGTTTGTCCTGGGTGGGATCTGTGACCCCACACAGATTTGGGGTGTCCTTCCCACTACAGGAAGGAAAAATCCCTTTGGCACGGTGAGGATGACTGGATGGTGCATTTCCAATCTCTAAAATAAATATTGACTAAAATAACACTAAAATAATACTAAAATAATACTAAATAATTCTAAAATATTAATTATAATACTATAATAAAATACTATAATAAAATACTATATATAATATACTATACTATATACTATTCTATAATACTATACTATAATACTATAACTAAATACTAAAATAATACTAAAATAATACTCAAATAATAAATAGAATACTATAATAAAATACTATATATAATACACTATACTATATACTATTCTATAATACTATACTATAATACTATAACTAAATACTAAAATAATACTAAAATAATACTAAAAGAATACTAAAACAATACTAAAACAATACTAAAATAATAAATATAATACTATAATAAAATACTATATATAATATACTATACTATATACTATTCTATAATACTATACTATAATACTATACTATAATACTATAATTAAATACTGAAATAATACTAAAATAATACTAAAATAATACTAAAATAATAAATATAATACTATAATAAAATACTATATATAATATACGATGCTATATACTATTCTATAATACTATACTATAATACTATAACTAAATACTAAAATAATACTGAAATAATACAAAAATAATACTAAAATAATACTAAAATAATAAATATAATACTACAATAAAATACTATATATAATATACTATACTATGTACTATTCTATAATACTATACTATAATACTATAACTAAATACTAAAATAATACTAAAATAATACTAAAATATTAAATATAATACTATAATAAAGTACTATATATAATATACTATACTATATACTATTCTATAATACTATACTATAATACTATAACTAAATACTAAAATAAACCTCTGTATTTAATAAATATCTAATAGTATTTAATAAAATACTATTAAAATCAAACAAGCTTCATCTTTAAAATTAATTCATTTTAATCTTTACGTGGACTCCTGGAGAATAATCCCAAAGTCTCTGGGCATTTTTGGGTCACAGCTTCAACAAGAGCAGGTGGAATAGGATCTGCCAGATCTTTTCCCACATTTTACAGCAATAATTCATTTTCCTGACTCCTTTAGGTTTTCCACAGCTGTCTTTGCCTTTTCCTGCTGCTTTGAGAAGGGCACCAGTCCCGTTTGAAGTAGGGGACCATCACAGATCAAGATGTGACCATCCCCTGTTTCCTCACCAGGGCAGAATTTCTCTGTTTGGAAAGGAGCTCCACAGGGATGTTAAAATGCTAAAAAGATCCTTTTTTTTCTCCTTTTTTCTCTCCTTTTTTCCTCCTTTTTTTCTCCTTTTTTTATCCTTTTTTTCTCTTTTTTTTTTCTCTTTTTTTTTCCTTTTTTGGGTTTTAATTTAATTTTTACAAAATCCACAGGCCTGGAAGATTACAAAACACCCATTACTCTCAATTTCCACTCACCATGAATTTTCTTGCTGGCAATCAGATGCCTCCACTTTAACCTCACATCTATTTTGTTGAT